TTTTGCAATATTTGATTTCATAATAAGTGGTAAGAGTTGTGGAATATTATAAGTATTTCTCAGACCAAAATATTCTAATGTTGGATACTNTCCATTATCTGATTCTGAAAGCAGTTCTGTTAAATTTTTTTCTGTAATATCATTATTGTAATGTGACAGGTCGATCATTTTACTTCTTATTTGACAGGGTGACCCTAACCATAATTCTAAATGTTTCAATTGTGGGAATGAGCAGTTAAGAATTGATTGTAACATGGAATTTTCCATTACTCCTGTTCTTATAATTAATACTTTCAAGTTGTTCAATTTAACTGGCTCTTGAAAATCACAATATCCAGCTAGATAGAGAAATTTAAGATTTTTGAAATATTTTAGTATTGAAATAGAAGTATAACAGGAATTTCGTACATAATCATTGGTTGACTTGGTATTTTCTACATAAAATTTTTTCAAACTTGAAAGAAGAAGAAGAAACTAACCTCGTATGGAAATAATATTATTCAACTCAATTGGTTCGTAAGCTTCCTGTTGTTCTATTATATAATTATTAAACGATTCATGAAAGTAATTAGAACTTGGATAGCTCAACGATAATTCTTCAAAAGTTTTCAATTTTTCAATAATGTCCTGTGTTTCCTTGACCAGTTCAACTGCTGGTCTCATTTTTCCATCTCCTATTTGTGCACTTTTCAATTCATTTTTAAAGAATTTTAAAATATCCAATCTGTCTTTGATAATCTTTTTGATAATATTCAACAGTAGTTGTTTTTCATTCTTAATACTAGTGCTGCGTTGAGTCATTTTCTAAATTGATTCTTGCCACTTTTTTCTAATACATTCCAATTTTTCATCTGTCATTCTCCCAGATTGCAAAAGCATTCTCTCACAATTACTGGATAACTCATTATTTGCTGAACTGAAAGATACACAATTAAATAGTACTGGTAGTTGCACTGATGATAATGCAATTCTCTTATTAATAAATAACTCGTTATACATATTAATAAAAAGAAATCTATTATTTGCAATCTTTCCATAATATTCCTTATTCAATAATAAACAACTTGTAATTGTTTTGTAATCCAAATATTGAAAAACAATATAACAAATAATATCGGAGGAGAGATTTTTGAATGAACTGTTTGTTGGAGAGAGGAGAGCAAAATCGGGACAATTCTCGCTCCAATCATCACCACGATCAAACGTATCATTGTGCTGATGACAGTGATTATACATTTTTTTTTGATTTTTGTAAATTAATAATTTGCTGAATTGGATTTCATAGCCTTAGAAACTCAAGTGTTGGTCATGTGAGCATCTAAGGTTTCCCTTGTTAGAACTTGGAATTGGGCTGATATTTCACATTTTGAGGTAATGAATGGCTACGGCCATATCACGATGAATGCACCTCATCCCGTCCGATTTGAGAAGTTAAGCATCGTCGAGCCACATCAGTACTGAGGTTGGAGACAACTTGGGAACCTGTGGTGCTGTAGTCTTTTTTTCATTTCAAAATTTGTTGCAGATTAACAGTCTGACGCTCTACCGACTGAGCTAGACGGGCTACATTTGATGACCTTAATTGTCCCTAATAATAGCTTGTTGGAAGAGTTTTTCTCTATCATAGTGAACTGAGGAAACATCCATAATTTCCTTGCTCTTTTCCAAAAGGGAAGAAGCTGTTGTAGTACGGCAAATGTAAAGAAGTTTTTTACAAAGGTCCAAATCATAGATAATACATCTTTCTGGATACATCAATTTCACACATTGGACAACCATATTTTCATAAGCATCCAAATCAGAGTCTAATTTAGAAATAGATTGAATGGTGTATGAGGAGAGTCTGAGCATTAAAAGTTTGTCTTGATTACTTTGAGTTGATTCATATTCCTTCAATTTAGATTCAATTGCCGATTCAATTGATGAAATATCCTTCTTGTATTTCTTTGTTGATTCATTGAGAACTTGTTTGGCAACCTTGCAATATTCTCTGTTTACCAA